GGAGGTGCAAGTGTATCGTTGAAAAGGCAGGATGAGAAGGCCACCTGTAGGTCCTTCCTCTCTTTATTTGTCCTAGTAACAATCTAAAGAGGCAGCCTGTAGGACTTTAATTTCAGTGATACAGAGGCAGAACTATTTTCTTCAGAAAAAAACACGTGAAACTGGTGACCTTTGTCTTGAATTGGTGAGATTCTTGATCCCCAAATTGACCATTTGTCTTCTTGCCCAGTTAGTGTTATATGCATACCTATTCTGTCGTATCTTGTTTCTCAGCTGAAATGATGTAAACATAATAAATAGTTAGGATTTTGCGAGGAGAGCGTGCCAGTTTTTTCAGGTTAACTTGGGCTAAGAGGTGGGCATTGAATTCCACTGATTTTGATTCTCATTGTGCATTTTATTCTGCTGGTTGCATGTTTCATGTGCTGATTGGTTTTAGCTTGGTCAATGTTTAACAGAAAGAAAACTATCAGTAAAAATGTCAAGGAAAATATTACAGTCATAAAATTACACCACCACAGTTGGTGGTATGGAGTAGGAGCTGGAGAATGGAACATTACCATGTTTTTAATCACTCATAATTTCTTAGCAGAATTAAGACATTTATTTATTTCAGTGCTGCTACTATTAGAAAAATAGACACTTTCCTTCCTCAGTTTTTGGCTGTACATTCTTGTGCCTGCTGCTGGAGCCAGCTGACCAACACGCTGATGCATTTAGAAGTTTTCTATTTGTGAGTGGAAAAAAGAAGTCAGCTACATGGCATACCTTTTTTCTGTTTTGTTTCATGCACAAAAGATTTGGAGTTGTTTATGGCCACTGTTGATAATGCACGACTAGTTCTAATCAAGGTACAAGAATTTGCTCCTAACTCTAATTTTTCAAATGCAAGTCTTAAAATGTTTTATCTTCTGTCTTTTTGAAGTTCCAGCTCTTGAAATCAAGTACATAAGATTGTCATCTTCCATGTTAAAAAAATAAAATGGCTGAAGAGGAAGCTAAAAACTCGCCTCAGTCTGTGGTATGAACTTGCAGAGAAGACAGCAAAGAAAAGGCCAGCCAGTTGTACAGATTTTTCAGATTACAAATTTAAAGTAAGTTTCATATATTTTGAGATACGATTTCTGATTTTTGAACTCTTCTGGTTCTCAGTATGATAGTTTGCATCTGATACTGAGGGTATATATCATTGTTAAACCCATATTGCTGCCTATATGGATTATTTACAGACTTAGTGCTCACTGAAATCAGAGGAAGATAGACATCTGTCTTTAGTCCTTAAGGGATTTACAGACACCCTAACCCTGTCCATTCGGTTTCACAAAATGCACGTTATTATCGGCCATGAGTTGTAGTGAACATTTATATTGAAGTGACCTAGGAATCAATGTAGGGAAGAGACCTGCTCAGCAGTTAACCGTCTTGACTTTATAGCATGCTGTGGTGTTGGAATTCTGAAATTTAAACATAACTATCATAGTCAGAATTTAGGAGCATCACTGTAATAATCACCAGGTTTGTCTATTTTCCTGGATAAAAGTCCTTCTACTAATGTATTCTGAGCTTTTTCCAACCAGACTTCAGCTTGCTTGTACTCACAGGTGCACAAATATTCCTGCGTTTTGCATATACCGATCCAGTTAGTTATTTGAAAATGTTTCTAAGTAGTTTGTGTCAGATGAAAAGACTAAGGATGACATGTTTCAGCTCCAAGCAGAAACCATCTAGGTAACAGAGATAAATGTGATTAGTAAAAAAAGAGGCATATATTGCCTGTACATACAGTATTTATGGGGAGCTACACCAGTAAGTGAATCGCTGGAGCTTGGAACTTCATCCTTGCCTATAGGAAAATTGAGGTCACCTCACATTGCTTCAGAAACTAGACCTATGACTTCCATAGCCACAAACATTATCTGAATCACTGAATCATTCAGGCTGGAAGGGACCTAGGAAGGTCTCTGGTCCAATCTCTTGCTTAAAGGAGTGTCAGACATGAGATCAGACCAGATTGCCTTGAAAACATCCAAGGGTGGAGACTGCACAACCTCTCTCTCCAACCTGCTCCGCTGCTTGGCTGTCCTCAGGGGGAAAAAGTTCTTCCTAACATCCATCGGGAATTTCCTGTTTCAATTTATGTCCTTTGTCTCGTTCTCCTCCTATGCACTGCCGTGAAGAGCCCAGCTCCACCTCTTCCATCCCCTCCCTGTGGGGTACTGGGGGCTGCAATTAAGTGCCCTTGAAGCCGTGTCTGCTCCAGGCTGAAAAAGCCTGGGCCCTGCAGCTCCTGCTTGCAGGGCAAGTGCTCCAGTCACCAACCATGTCGGTGCCCTTCTCCGAACTTTCTCCAGTTTGCCAGTGTCTGTCTTGTGTTAGGAGGCCCACAATCAGACGCAGTATTTCTGGTAAGGTCTAACGAGTGCCAAGCAGAGTGATAAACCCTGCCCTCGATCTGCTGCCTGTGCAGCTTGCTTTTTAGGCAGCCCGGGTACCGTTGGTGATCTTTGCTGCAAGGACGCAGCGGGCTTATGCTCGGCTCTCTGCCCACCAAGCCAATAGGTTTAATGAGTAGAAGGTCGTTTGTACCTGCACAGAGCTTGAATGCGCCCGGGTTTCCATGTTTTGACAGTGTTGGTGTAAGCGTCCCTGATGGCCTTCCTTTGGAGACGGTTTTGAGTTGGAAACACAGCTGGGTGAGGATGCTTGAGGGAAGAGGCGGGAAGAGCTCTTGGTAAGCCCCAAGCCTTTGAGATACAGGCTTTCACAAAATGGAAGGGAACTGGTTCCGGAGCAGTGCAGCAGATACACCAACCTGCCTGCGGCGTTATCACAAGTTTCCGCTTAAGATTTGGATAGTCTAGAAGAAAGCTGGGGTGTATGTATTTATGCTGGCTAATTTGCATTGTTTCCTTTTCCTGACAAATAAATAGGTTGTGGTTTCTTAAGTGCAATGAACAAGGCATATTTCACAGCCTCTTTCGCACTGGGGCCTGGGACTTGGTTGGGGCTTTTGATTGCTCTCGGAGTTCAAACATTACATAATATTAAGTAGTTATTTAAAGTAAGGATTGATTTTTTCATAGTTTTTTTCCTGTGATAAATAGCATTTCTTTTGTAACGGAAGTCCACAGCGTTGCACTCCCATGTTTCTCCGGCTGCGCGGCACCTGGCCTTGACACCTGTAAAACTTGCCAGCTTAGCTTTAGGTAGCCGTGCTGCCCTTTTGACTTCAGTGGGCCGTACTCCCCAGGAAACATTAAACACGAGCAAAAACGTTTGCCGCATCAGAGTCCTGTTTGGTCACATATCTGTACGCGTATCTTGATATATCTATATATAGACCGAAGGGATTATGACAGTCTCAGAGTGATCCATCTCTTCCCCCAGTAGCATGTTACTCTATTACGTCTAATTAGTGCTGAGCAAATTATTCAAAAAGAACAATTTTATCAAAACGTAGCCGCTTTATCTGCTCAAGGAATACCTTAAACCAGACTATGATTTTTCTCCTATTTATTAATTATTCAGCAGCCATCAACACTTTTTTCACATTGTTAACTGTGGCTAGATCGCTGAATTTTTGTGATTGATACATGCCGTTAGACAAATTCACGTGGATCATTTCTACAGGAGACAATATAATCTTTCAGCTCATTTTAGCAAATCGTAAGAGACCCTGAATTTGGGGTTGCCTGAAAAAATACAAAAATTCTTTCCACGCAGGGTCAGAGTAAAACTTTTCAGTGCATCTTCTTTAAAATTCGTTTTTTTTCAAATACAAAAAGAATTCTCCGCAATGAATTCCAAGCAGCTTCAGTATGAAGCATTCTTCTGCAAAAACGTGAAACGTCTCGGTGACGGCGAACACAGGACGATCGCTGGAAGCCTATTGCCGCAGTTCGCGGGCCTTACGCGCAGGACGTCTCCGCGCGCCTGCTTGCAGCCCGCACCCAGCCAGCTGTACGTACGAGGTCCCTGAAGAAGAGCCTTCTCCCTGCGCCCGCCTCGGTGGGTCGGTCTTCCTGGCGGGACCGGAGGAGGCACCTTACAGCCATGTCGCGACCGACGCGGGCTCTCGTCCTGCACCGACACCCGCGGTTTTCGCGGTTCCCCTTCAAACACGTCAGTAGTTTGAAGTCGGCGAACGGAGCCTGGAAAAGCCGAGGAGCTGGTTTGCTTTTCCGGCGCTTAACCGCTGTTCCGACACCGGCGTCGGCGCTGCAGCCGGGGGGTCGCGGTCGGGGCCGCCCGATGGAAAGGCTGCGGCTCACGGCGGGG